ATAAGTGAAAATAAAGAGCTTGACTTTGAGACAATAAAGGTGGCACTACTCAGTGTAGGAAGCACAGAATGACAAGGTTGCACCTCGAATACTGTGTGCAGTTTTGGGCCCCTCACTACAAGAAGGACATTGAAGTGCTGGAGCGTGTCCAGAGAAGGGCAACGAAGCTGGTGAGGGGTCTGGAGAGCAGGTCTTAGGAGGAGCAGCTGAGGGAACTGGGGCTGTTTAGCCTGGAGAAGAGGAGGTTGAGGGGAGACCTTATCGCTCTCTACAACTACCTCAAAGAAGGTTGTAATGAGGTGGGGGTGGGTCTCTTCTCCCAAGTAACAAGTGATAGGATGACAGGAAATGGCCTCAAGTTGCACCAGGGGAGGTTTAGACCAGACATTAGGAAAAATTTCTTCACCGAAAGGATTGTCAAGCACTGGAACAGGCTGCCCAAGGAAGTGGTTGAGTCACCGTCCCTGGAGGTATTTAAAAGCCCTGTAGATGTGGTGCTTAGGCATTTAGTGGTGGACTTGGCAGAGTTAGGTCAACAGTTGGACTCGATGATCTTAAGGGACTTTTCCAACTTAAATGATTCTATGTTTCTATGATAAATACTCATGTCAGATCAAATGATGACACTGTAGGTCATTTGCTATAGTCAGCAATATAGTAATCACTCATTTCCTCACCACACACATAATTTAAAAAAATAATTCACTACACAGTGAATTATTATACTAAATGAACTGAAATAATTTTATATGCCCTTTAAAAAGCTCCATAAAAATTTAGACTTGCAAACAAGTAGGCATGTAAATGGAAAGCAGTATGGGCAGGTTTTTAAATTTCTCATACTATAATTTTTAAAAATAAAAACATGTTTTAAGATACTGTGATTATTATTAAGAAACTGTTTAATATGATCAAGAAAAAATAAAAGGAATGGATGGCTAATTTTTTTTGAGTAGCCTGAGGAATGTAAATCCCAAATAATGAAAAACTAATTGTAAGAAGTTCATTTACAGAAATTCACATTTTTACTTTTAAGAATACCACTGCAAATGGCATTTGCTCCTTTGAAAAACAGTGATTTTTTTAGACAACAGCAAATAAACAGTAACCAGACTGGTTCTTGTACACTAAGAGCTACATACAAAGGTTCTGAAAAAAATGCCTTGGAGTCAGGAGTCTAATAAATAATAATATCTAGTTCCTTTTAGCAGAGCTGCAGTCCACTCTCTCAGTGTTGCTACTACAAACACTTATCTCTCCTAACTTTAATATATTTTATACTCAGGAAAAAATGTCACACTACTTTTTAGATAAGCTGTCACTAACCTGTTCCCATGGTTGTGGAAAGGATGAGGAGGTACGCCATAGTTATTTTTTTTGGAATGTCATGCAGGGCCAAATAATAATCCAATCGTTAACTATCCTTTTTTTTTCATGGTATAAGCAGCTTTGGCAGAAAGTTCCTTTTTTTTTTTTTTAAATTCTGACATAATGATTTCATTTATTTATATAGTTTAGTAATATTTTATTATTTATTTATTAATAGTATGTATTAATTTATTTGAAGCTTAAATGACACGTCAATTGCAACAGCGATTTTGGTGACCTGGACATCTGTTTAAGAACTTAGCTGAGACTACAAATTAATTCTGCACACTTCATTTAGAATTAATCAGCTGTTCCCGTTTTTTCCTGCTTTATGACTGATTCCACTAAGATGTTACTAGTTTCTGAATATGTCAAGTAATAGAGCCACCTTACACCTCACATCTAAAAGTGAGAAGATTCTAAAAGTCTTCTTTTAGAACAGAAATCTAAAAAGGATTCTATGTTATTCCTTTCCTGAACACACAAAACAATTATTATTACCTCTGCATGCTGACCCTTCTATTTTTTTTTTAAAGAAATATCATTCAATTTGTACTTCCATTCATATAATTTTAAAAAAGCATACTTTTGAAATCTCCATCCCCAAATGTCAATGGATAGGCTCCTGGCTTTTCAATCTTGTACATTTCCTCTATAAAAAGGATTTTACAATCATTTATTGTGTCTTCTGGGCCTCTGAAAAACAAAAAGAATAAAAAGTACATTTGACTTAGTTCCTCAGACCTAGATTCTGTACTTTATGAAACTTAAGCAATGAGATAAAACTAAGTAGCATCTTTTTTTCACCACTGATAGGATACTTTATTTCAAAATTCAGCCTAGTACCGTAATTTCTAAGAAAACCAAACACGTACTTACAACTCGTATAAAGAAAAGACTAGTCCATTACCCTCAGACTACCTGGCACCTAAGTATGTTCGTATTAACAGCCAGACATAACTTTCATTATCAAACATTATTATAGAAGTATAGTGTCAGAAATTAGCTAGAAACATGACTTTCAAGACACAATAAAAGACACTACATGGAACTCACAGAGTAAGAAAAGCAACAGAAAGCTTCAAAAGCCCTTCTATGACTTCTAAATGTTTTGGAAATCTAAACCCTAATCCCACAAAGACATGTACAATGCTGAATTATGTACTGTGAGTAATCCGTTAATGTCAGGTTTTGGAGCAAAATCTGTTCACTTTATCCCAGTGATGAGTAACAAATACTCCGTGACTCCACAAGACTAATACGCAAAGACTTCTAAAGAAGGATTACAAAATATTAAATGTAGAGTAAAGGTCTTCACCTCCTCTTATTATAATCGCTTTGCATTTACTAAAATTCTGATTCAAATGTAAATGTATTTAGGAAGAAAAGGCCATAAAAACAGCAACAGTTTTAAAACACTCCCTCTTCTTCCCTCCTCAGGATGATATTGTGCCTTTTTCAACTGCCTGTTCTCCTACCATTTTCAATTTACTACCTTATCTAGAAGTAAGCAGGAATTTTCAGTATAGCCCGTACTGGAAGTATTAATTACTGAACATAGTCTTACTGATTTCATTGAATCACATGTGTTGCTACTGATTTCAGAATTGAGCAGTTTGACACAAGAGAAAAGAATTTACTAGCTGGAGAGCTTTATTTCTTGCAGAGTGAGACCCAGCCATTAAAAAACAGAAAATTCGAAGGAAATCTGGGTTTGTTGAACTTCTTTCGTCTTCAAAAGTTAATCTAATTCTGTTGCACTGCTGCAGTCCCTGTTTTGGTTCTAGAAAAACACTTCAAAATCTGAAACTATTCAAGCAACTAAATGGATACAGACCACAAATATGAAAGCTTGAATTATTACGATTATAAAGTTTAACATTTTACCAAAACTGTGATGTTTGTAGTTAATATCCAGTGAGCATCCTGCAATACAAGAAATAAAATAATTTTTTTCTTCTTTCCTATATAGACATCAGATGTGCTGGACATAATAGAG